CCGCCATCCAGCTGGTTCGAGTATCGTCTCTCCATCATTCCTGTCATAATTAAGGATCGTCTGCATGAAAGCTTTAAGATGGTGCATGCCTACTTGTTCGGTGAGTAGGGTGCCATTGGCTCTGAAATTGATTTGCTTGAAGAGGGTGTGTGCAATATTGTTGGCTGGTGAGGTCATCACACCCACATTGTTTGCGCGTGCAGTGAGATTGGCATTTTCTGTGGTTTTGAGACCCAAATCCAGTTGGACAAAACTACTCGAAAGATCGATGAGATCTGATTGTCGTTCCACGTACACTTGGATAGGAGTAATACTAGAAGTCTTAGGTGGTATTTTGACATATCGGTACTTTACCGTAGAAAGATCTGTAGGTGGTATTCTAAAGAGATCTAGACTTAAATTCTGCTCTGCCCCTTTGATAGACATGGTGATGTGTCTGTTTCAATGTCTTCTGCGTTTATGCACACGTCGTCGCGTTCCTATTTTCTTTATACGACTTGTGAGAAATCCTCCTAGTTGTTGTTGTTTTCTTTTTCTCCCTTTATAGCTTTTTAAGATGGAAGACACAGGATCCGTCGGTGATGCTGTGCCTACACCAATAATAGGATCACTTTAACGTACGGTGCTGATGCGGACCATGTTTTATTCTCCAAAAATTTCGTTCAACCTCTTGGCAACTTTTCCCTTTAATTCGTTCTTAAGCGCTTGGGAAGCCCCTCTCTTTATACCTCGCGGCACTTCTGATGACGAACGCTTTTTGACACTGCTTTTAAGGCCTCCTGCTACACCTTTCGCAAAATCTTTAGCCATGTCTTTGACTCCGGCACCTATTTGAGGATCACCCCAGGATCCAATAAAAGGCGGTGGGGCATAAGTTGAGGGGGTCTGCCAGCGCATGAGACCACCACCTCCTTGTTCATTTGGCACATACACTTTAAAGCGTCTCAAACTTCCTTCTCTCATGATGCGATCACCACACCACAATTCACTTTAAACCTTTTTTATTAATCGAACTATATATTGGTCGTTACCATTCCGGGTACGACTTTACGAACTTTTAACACTTCTTCCGTCCATCCTGCCAGATACCCTTTCTTAAACGGTCTAAATTTTTTATTCAATCGGACTTTATCGCCTACTTTAAATGCAGGCTTTTTTTTTTCTTAGTCTGATATTTCCCATACAAATTGTTCCACACTTCTTTGGCATTGGATGTAGTGACTTTAGCTGGTGTGGTTTTCATACTCCTGTGATGGGTGCGATTGTATTGATTGACAAGTTTGGGTAATATGTCTACATATTTGAGTGTGTTGGCAGCCGTGAAATAGCGATACAATTTCGATTTAAGGGTTCTATTAAATCGTTCGACGATACTGGCTTTGGCATCTCCATGAGTAGAAAAGTGATGAATCTCCTGTATTTTCATCAATGTTTGAAACGTCTGATTATAAAATTCCTTGCCTGCATCTGTCTGTAACGTCTGAGGTTTCCTTCCTTTGGCTTCCTTGAGTATTTTTGCAAACGCATCCGTCACATCTTTTCCCGTGTTCTTTTTAATCAGCCGGGCCCACGCGTACTTGGAAAAGGCATCGATCACGACCAATATGTATCGATATCCCTTGTTCTGTTTGGATAGGGTCTGTACTTCGATCAAATCTACTACTCATTGTTGATCAATGTCGAACACCACCACAGGTAAAAATTCTCCTCGTCGACGTCTAGGTTTGTGAAGCGTGTACGCCAATTTTTTCTCTAATTCTTTTTTACCTTGAGCAATAGAGATCTTTTGAGCTTTGGCATACGGTGCAACACCACCCAAACGACCGACGACACCGGATTCGTCATACAAGTCGTGTGATCCTCTCTCTTTTGTTTTCATTTTTTCATCCTTGATATCTTTCTTAATGTTCTTAACCATGATAAATGACACCAAAGTTTGAAACAATGGTAGGTGACCCAATACTTATGAAGGTACTGCGTATACAATTGATTCCACGTCTTATATGTATACTTCCCATCATAGTTTCTCATAAACGTCATCAAATGAAAGATACGGTCGTGTAGTGGATGTAGGCGTGGTTTCACGACAAACTTAAACACCTCAACTTCCATGTCTTCGGGAACCCAATCGTAAGGGATTTTATGCGGCTCATCCTCTTCGTAGACGATACGTGGGATGCAATCACAAAGCCACGACACCACTCGATAATGTAAGTAGCACAGATATTGACTCCACGAGGTAGGCATGATGACCTAACGATTTTTTTTCATCGCCGACCCTTTTTATAGTGCTTGACATTATCCATAATGCCTTTCAAAGCCTGTTTTCCCAAAAGTTTACCAAGTGTTCCAAAACCTAGTGCAGGACCCGATAACAACATACTCGCTCCGTAAGCTAATTTATCTGTAAGAGAGGGGCCTCGACGAAGATTTTTCTTAACCCTACTCACAGAAGCACCCCCACGTTGGTTGCGTTTTCTTCTTTTAATTACAGACCGTCTTACACGCCTCATGATCGACACAGAAAAATGACACAGTGTTTTTGGTGATACAACTTTTATTTATTTATCCATATTATCTTCTAAAAACTTACATCACAAGCAATACACTCTAAGTCTTTATGCGACAATCCTAAGCGTCCAGCTAATTTTCTGAACATATGCATACCGATCAACCAGGCGATTTCAACATGATCGTCCATAGACAATGTATCTAGCTTTGTGTTTCTACCCATCAACCGTGCGATTTCAAGATGGTCTGTACTTATCCCATTTACAAAAAAATTAACAAAACTTGGAATTACAACTACAAAACATATGTATTTTTACATCTGGTGAAAGAAAAGTTTGAATGAACGCTATGCCTAAAAAATTAATACATTTGACTCTTATTACTTTCTTTGAAGTAAAGGAAAAAGGGCTTCTAATAAATCAGCAAATGTCATCTTGACATCTAGTCCTGAAATGAATCATTGACATCCATCCGTAAGAATTTACACTGACCTCTTGTTGGGTTTAAATCGCCACCAAATGAATAGCTTACAATGGCGTTGACCGCATCGCAAATTCATTTTGCCATAATTTGTTTCTGATGGAGTCAAAGACAATGTGGGAGTCATTCCACATTCGCACACCATCTTGTCGATTCTGTCCAGGGTGAACCAGGGGTGACCCTGTCTTTGACATTCATAGTAATAACGGTTGTAATCACTGAGATTACAAAATACTGGGCAACGGGCGGACGAGCAACGTAGGAATACATCGTCACAATCTTCTTTTTTTTAGATTTCAATACCTCCATCATGGTCTGGTGGATCGGACATGGATAACTGACTTCCACACTATCCAGTAACTCATTCAAGGAGGAATACTGATGCGTACCTGTATCAGAATCCTGTGGAATCTCGCCTCCTTCTAGCACTTCTACCTCGGTCTTCTCTGTCGTCGGTTCTGTCTTGATAGTTTCTACCAGTTTGTTCAACTCTTTCAATGGCGGCTGTGACTTGGCAGGCTTTGATTTAGGAGGGATACGGTGTTCTGGTTTCATATAATCCACAGCTATTCGTGGCTCATTGACATCAAACTTGGATGGTTCTCCTCCAAAACTGTCATGCATCGGTGTATCAGGAACGTTATCTTTACCTTGGAAATCAGGATCATTCATAGGCAGCGCATCAATGACAGTAGTACCCTTCAACTTATTCTTGGGTTCTGCTGTCTTCTTGTTTTCTTTTTTGACATAAGGATGATTCCTCTTGGTATTTGACGACATCTTGTTCCTTGCTTGCTTGCTTGCTCACCACTCTACGAGAAAGAATAGTGAGTTCCCTTAAAAATCTGCTCTACTTTTATACATATTAGATCTCTTGTTTTTTAATTCTACCTGCTCATTGGCTACAACCTGTAAATGTTTTTTTAGTTCTCTAGAGATTAAGGCAGCCTCGGACAGCCTTCATGTAATCCCCTTGAGGTTAGGGCAGCCTTGGGCAGCCTCAGGCAGCCTTGAACAGCCATCTCTGTCAGACATCTTACACTGAGCATGCGTAAAGTCTTTGGCCAACATCTCACACTGTGCATTACATGAGCCGTGAACTTAAACCCCTCATACACCCTCATGTTATAAATATATTAAACAGCCATCTTCGATGACGTCTCCGCCGCCATCTTGAATCCTCCCTAAGGGACTTAGACGCCATCTTCAATCCTTTGTTATTTATGCTAATTGTGGCAGCATCCCTTTGTTTCCTACTCCCAATCCTGTCAGAGTAAAATTATTTTCATTTTTAGCCTCCTGAAGGGTCTCCTAGCTGAACAGCACTGCTCATAGAATACAGCACATGCCAAGTCATATAGATTATACAGGATTCTCTTGGATACAAAGCAGATTTTCCACATTCAAGTACCTAATTTTGTTTTAATAAAATAATGTCTATTCGAAAAAAAAGTCAAACAACCTTACAGCAAATAATGAGGATTGGGTGTGATTAAAAATCAAACCTCTAAAGATTTTCAAAGTTGGCATCTCTGACTTAGACTTAACTATACAGTAGAGAGTGTTTCAACCAGGATATTGTAATCGCCTTCCCCATTATCATCCAGTAGATCTTCTACAGCTGAGTGGCCAATGTCAGAGCAAATGTCAGTGGTGACGATAGGGGTTGACAACAGAAGCTTATCACTTGGAAAACATCTTCGTAAAATCTAGCTGCTGAGATTGTTTAAAGGAGAACTGAAGCCAAAAATTGAGTTAATTTCTTTCGATAGCCAAAGTGACAAAATTCTCGATTTCAGGCGTTATTTGTGCTAAATGTGTCTTACCTTGGAGAAATGTTTCTTTAAAGTTTGTATTTTCGCGCTGTTTCGGCTTTCAAACCGTGGGCACCAATTTTAAATCAGCGGTCTTCCAAATGAGCCTGTGACGTATGTTATGGGGATCACTTTAGAACGTGTTATCGTTCAGCTAAGTTTTAATACAAATTGCCTCTTCGTCGACCCTTCGTTATGAGCGGAATAGAACCATTTCAGTTCGAACCAGTATATCAGCCTGGAGAAGAACCACCTCAGGAAGAGAGTGTAGGACAGGAGGTAGAAGCCCACGAAGAAGACAATACTTCGAGGATGGGAAACACCGAATGGTGTTTGTGCGGCGCTTGTGCGCTTATGCCGGTGGCAAATGAATGTTACTGCTGCCAAGAACTAGAGGAGCTTAATCAAAAGTTCGACAATTCAGGTTTGTTCTTATTATGTGATTATTCTCACGAGTATTTTGTTTGAAGCGACCGCTTCTTTGCTAAGAGTGACAAAAGGTGGACAATTGCAAACTCGATCTTAGTTGTAATTACAATTACAAGGTCTGATGGATGAAAATTATTGAAACAGTGAGGGAAATAAAATGTTAAGACTTTTTTCTTCTTGATAGGTGTTAGATGCATAACAGAACATCCGAAATTTGGTATTGTGTGCTTGGACACGGATGTTTTGAGCACGGCATTGGTTGCAATCCACAATGCGCGGCTCAATCCAATTCCCGACCCTATCGTCAACAGGTAAACTGTCTTTTTCTTTCTTATTTTGTACGCGTAATTAAGTCAATCGCTTTTGTGACTATATATCCTCTTGTTCTCTAGAACTTGGCGTTTGGCAGTCTACAGACAATTTACTTGGTGGGCACATGGGGTATTAGGAAAAAACCGGCGGAGAATCGTGCCAGCATGCGTCGTCACGGCCATACGTAAAACATTTCCAGAAGAGAGTGGTAATTACGTGGGGTTTCGAAAGCAGATCTGGAACTTTGAACTTTATCCTTAATGTCCTTTAATAATGATTAGTAACATATCCTTTGCGTGTATAACATCAGAGGCTCTTCTTTCCTTATGTTACGGTTTCTTTCTAAAATTTGCGTGAAATATACAATTACTTATTGAGGATATGAATTACTATCACATTTCTGCATAGTGATTCAGTCAAAAGCCATGCAGAGCCAAACGAATGTCATCCCTACTGCAGTTATTAAATTATCCACATTGCCAGGGATAGCTGCGTGGCCTGAATGAAATAAACCTCAAACCTAACTTCGATTGCTTTTTGCTACGATGATTGCTTTTATTTTCATTTGATTGTGTTATTGACAAAGTTGTTGTATTTAATTATTCGAAAATCTCGAAGTATGATTAGCAATGACATCTGCTTTAGGAGGCCGGGGTTTGCTGGCAATGTTTTCAGGAATGTGTGGTGCTGTGACTGTTGCACTCCTCTCTTGTGGTTTTAAGCATTTTCTCTCTACAATGGCATTAAGCATTGGCTTGAGATGATAATTGGTTGTCTTCTCAAATATGGGCTTTGCCACCCATTCTTTTGTATTTTTCAGAAACACTACCTTATATTGCAGCTCCCCTTGGTTGGCACCCCTGGATACAGTGGCTTGTTGTCTACCAGTGTTGGCATTATGGTCTAGGGCTGCCAACTGAGTTCGAGCAACCATGCCATTATAAGAGAAGTGCTGCCGTTTGGGTGCATATTTGGTCTGCACACTATGGTACACCTCTAAATTGCCAGTATGACAACTTAGTGTTAGTTGCTGAATGTCCTTCAACAGATTTTTATCGAATACAACCTCCTTCAATGCATTATGAGCAGAGGAGCCAGGCCTAAGCCACCTTTTTAGTTCTTGCAATAGCTGGAGGGATTGGTTGGTGGGCACATTCCTCATACAGGTCAGCTGAATCCCAGGAGTGGATATTGGCAGTGTGATAGACAATGGATATCCACTTCTCTCTCAACATCTCCTTGTCTCCCCCACATGTTTTGGCACACCACCAAAGGTGGTTTGAGATGGATCTGATCCAGAGAGAGAGATCAGCACATTCTTTCTTCTTTGCTTTTTCAGTTAACTTTTTAGTTATACTCTTGGAAAGGTGCCACACATCAAATTGATGATCAACTTCAGGGAAATTTCTTTTCATGTCAGCCCTAATGCCCACATGACGGTCAGTTGCAACAACCATAATTTTCCCCCCTTTTTCATAGATGTTTTCCATACAGTGTTTAAAACCCTCTCTTTCCATGGCATTGCTATTATTTACCTCACTGACCTGAACAACCTTGAAGTCAACAATCTTATCAGTTTTCTGATCAATCATGGTATACGTCCCATATTTTGCATTATGGCCAGGACTGTCACAACGCCCATCCCCTGAAAGCCACAGATCTCACCCCCCTAGCTCAGAAAAAGTGGAATTTTGTTCTTTAAGCCAGAACTCACTGATTACGGGTAATAAGTACTTGTTTTGAATATTATAAAATGTTTTCTCCCTGAAAATTTTCAAATTTAAGATATCTGCCAAAGATGCTACTTTTGTAAAGGTAGAGCCACTGAGCAAAATAGATGATGACAGCAACAAATTTCCAGCTGCCATCCCCTCAAGCATTGGCTGGCTTTGCCAGGAGTACTTATGGTTATTCATACATTCTAGGGTGACAAATAGTTGGCTTCCTTGTGTGGATTGGTTCCTCTTAATCACAACTGCACCACACTCAGGACAGTACTTAAAAAATTTAAATAGCTCTTGTTTAAATACAATGTATTTGGTATCATCCTGTGGCTTTTCGCATTTTGTTTCCCCTTGGTGTTTGTTGTCTGATCCTGACAAGTTCGAATCATCTGAATCTTCCTGTTTTGTGGGAAGGTAGATGCCATCTTTTCTTGGAGAGACTTCTGGGGAAGCAGAAGTTTCAGTTGCTTCTTCCTTGTTATCTTCAATTTCAGGAAGGAATACCTCTTCAGTCTGGGTGCTGCTTTCTGAAACATCAACCTCGACTAGGGTGTCAGTAGATTTCATCATTAAATGGAGACCACGAAGATTGACTTGGATCCCAAAATCCACACCCTTGTTTGGCAAATTCACCTGCACTGCTTGTGACTCAACCAACGTGCTTTTAGGCCCTAAATCATGTGGGAATGGATATAATGGGCTGTCTGAGGTTGATGTACTTGCTCCACAATTCACTACATCAACAGGTGCAGGCTGTTCTAAAGCTGAAGCTGCATGTTCTTCGATTCCACAACTAGGTTGTGCAGTGATAGAGGCTATATACTATGACAGAAAAAATATTAACTCTGTTATGGTATGGGTTAGTGACCCTTTGAGAGAATGAAAAATGTGGGTATGGGGGATAAACTATGCTACTATATGGTTACACAATGATTCAATGGGATTTTCTTGGAAAATATAACACCTGACCCTGCCCTCCTTTGGTTGAAAGCCTGCACTGGTTTCAACTTAGACTTTCCAGTTGTATTAAGTTTTTATTCACATAGAAGTAAAGAAGGTTAAAAGAATTCATTATTTAAAGAATAATATCCACAACTTATATATAGTCTATTTGTACTAATTTTGTTCACCTGCTAGTTAACAAGGGACAGGTATAATGTTCCTAGAATTAAAGAATAATCACTTTATTCTGAAACAATTTAATTTTGTTTACCTACTGGTCAAAAATTTTCAAGAGAGACGAAGTACAAAGATTACTCAGAAAAAAAAAACATGAAACTAGAAGGAATTCCATGGCAGGATATTGTTTTGCGTAAGGAGAAGAAATACTTTTTTGTGAAAATTTAATGTTTCTCAATGGAACCTATTCGGGTGATATCCCTTAAGATATAAATTGTTATTGCCCTCAAACTGCATTCACCTTTCAATTTTTTTTTATCAATCATGCATAAATGATGAGCAGCTTCAAGAGTTTGCAACAACCCAAGCTTTGCAACAACCCAACCCAGTTACAAGAGAGTAATTCGCGATTCACTTACTTCTTTTCTGACTTTCTCTTCTGAACGTTTCTCCGATGAAAGTCGAGGTCTTTTTGATGGTCTCCGATGCGAAAAAACCGTGGGTATTGCACCTGGTTTTAGCGTAGATCTGGGTTTCAAACCAAGAATTTCTGCTTTCAAGTCTCGTTCGTAGCAGTCAGGTGTAAAATGTTCTGAGCACAGCCTGGAGTTTTTCGAAACGACCAGATCCGCTCGTGAGATCTTTGCCAGCCACTGTGATCGTAGAGCTTCATCCCTCGGAAAGCAATGGTAGGATATACCAGTTGTGTACCTCGAGTCGTTGTTACAATCGAACGCCGCGCAGTATACCATTTTTTAGCTCGAAAGTAATCGAAGTAAATATAGCAACGAGGGCTACTCAACCGCCAAGAACAGATAGAAGAATAAACTCAAACAACTCGGGCTTCCGTATTTGTACATCCTTTCTTGCCAAGCCAAGAATTTAACCCATTTAAGAGAACTTATAAACCAAAGTTCAACACGAATTTCAAAATTTTATTTCCTTTTGGACTTCTTGCGACATTGTTAACAGCGTGCGTTATCGTACATGCCATTGCAAAATACAGACTACAAACGCGTTGCAAACTAATGTTAAAAAAGGTAAATAACAAAATATGGGAAACAGAATGGAAGATGAAATATCTTAAATTACCAGTATGTAAGAAAAATTAAAGTGGAGACCCTATTCCGAAAACATCGAGGTCAATCCAAGTATAAAAGATGCGCCGCACATGATCTAGACACGTAACTACGTTTCAGAGACACAGGGTTACGAAAGCCAAAATATTTTTCTCTTACACAATCCCTGGATAGAAGACCAATTTTCTTATATGAGAGGCGCTTGAATCATTTTTTGCTTCACCTTGCACAATCTTTACTCCTGGAAAGCCACAAATTCTTTCCCGCGAGCAAGCCGCAGTCCTGAATTCAACTTGCCTGTTTCTTGCTGTGTTTACCTTCATCCCCATAACCTACGTCACACGCTACAAAAAGAACCGCTGACATTCGTGTTCTGAGCCGACGTACCACAGTCAAATGTCAATTATCACTAAAAACCCTTCGTTTTCTGGAAGAAAACTGTCGTTCGAGGGAAAAAAAATGACGGAAATTTGTTCCATCATACATAAATGTACGATACACGGTGAAAAAAATTACATGAATTTGGACTTCAGTTCTCCTTTAATCCTTCAAGTTCATGACCTGAAATGGAACAACAAAGAACCCCTGTAATATGTACTCAAAAGCAGGTAATAGTGGTAACATCACGGTGCAAATATATGAATTTCATATCTCTAAAATCATTATTGATCACTTGGATGGTTTATTTGAATTTTTTTCAGGTCCTACTTTCAACTACCAGTTCAGTAGTGCTCTTAGCTGCGAGGATCTCTTAACTTCTTGTCTTCACCATAGTGCAAATATATGAATTCCATACATCTAAAATCAGTGGTAACACAGTCTTAAAAAAATTCTGTGCAACATCAAAATATACTTACACTCTAAAGTCTCCAGTGACAAAGTGTACAGGGTTTTAATATCATCAGCTTGGAAAATGCCTTCTTACCACTTCCTAAAATCCAGAAACTTAACCATACTGATAAATCTCGTATTCTTGATCACATTCAGAATAGCTTTTCTGATGTTTGTCATCTGTGATGATGATCTGTTCTTTGCCAATCTCAAAACGTTTGTAACAGCAGTGTAAAAGCCCCATAGATGACTGTTTTTGATGCACAGCTAGCTATCTGCAGAAAAAAAAAAGAAATCAGCAAAAAGTGATAACTTGTTCTTTTAGCCCTTGCTAAAATAAACGTTTCTGCTATATATAAGCTGAGACATGGTAAAGGCAGTTGTTTATACTGTACAATAATTTAAGTGTTATTAATAGAGGTTGAAAGCTTATTAAAGGTTCCTTAGAAAAGGGGTATTATAGAAAAAAGGTAATAAACACCACCTCATGCCATAATTGACCACTTAA